CCCCCCCCTTTTTCTTTTTTTTTTTTTTACTTACTTTTATGTTTTAGGAGTGATATAATTTGAGAACCTTTATTGGCTAGTTCTTTTCGGAGATGCCATTTTTTATGTTATACAGTTTACAAAAATCATACAAGTTATGAATGTATTGCATTGTTTTTTTTTTTTTTTGTCAAATTCTTTCCACTATGACTCCTTTTGTTCTCCTTCTTGGCAACGTGCTTATTTTCTTTCAGCCAGATTAGATTCTGTTGAGGTGAGATGAGTTTGTTTCTCACTTGTCATGTTATCGAGATGGGCCTGATACGAGACTATAAGCCTGTTCATGGGATTTTGAATATAGTTTATTTGGTTCATGTATCAGAGTTGTTTTGATTGTTATTCAGTCATTTTTTTTGGATGTCCCATTATCATTTTGATCACTTGTATTACTGTCATATTATGGATACTTTTGCTTGGCCATCCAGCTCACCCCCTATCTATCCCTTCATAGTTGCATGTAGATTTCAGTGTAAGTGTTGTAATATGAATATGAAAGAATTAGAGTTTTTATTATTTCTTTGTTAATTTTTTTTGGAAATTTATGATATTTGGAAATATTATAGTTGTGAAACTGTGACTAGAAAAAGATTCATGGGAACTAGAGCATTACAGTAGTGGATGATATTGTTTGATTGGAACTGAGGCTTATGGCTGGTTTTGCCTTGCGCTGAAATACTCCTACTTTTTCCAGGATGAACGTTGCTCAAAGTTAAAGATTTATCCAATCCTGCAGAAGGTACTCTCCTTTTCTCACTCTCTGACCCACTCCAAGTTGTCCGACTCAATCTCCCACTACATTGCACTCTTACAACATTACTCATGCACTGTTGCTAATATGCGAACCAACTACCAAATAGAGTTATTGGCTGGTATTAACTTGCTTACAGCTGAAGTCTAATATGGAGTTTTATGGAGTTTTTCAGGTTTATTTAGAGAGGATTTTGAGGAAGCCAGAAATTGATGCATTTGCTGAAGAGCTAAAACCACATCAGGTTGCTTGACCACCTGGTTTCTGATTCCTTGTTTGTAGATGTTGCAAAACATTCATATATTGTCGGAAGCTGTGGAATGACTACTGACTTTTGGTATGCTTAACAGAAAGCATTTTTACCTGACAACTTTACTGTGCTGGATCGTGCTATGATTGAGCATAACCTCTTGAGTGCAAGCAAACTTTACACAAATATAAGGTTGGAGTTCTGATGTGCTGCTTTTCATCTTATCCATTTTGGTACAATCAATGATCAAAATTTTGTTTCGATGCATTGTTTTGGTCACTTAGAAAACGAAAACGTTTCAGCCTGTTTCGAAAACATAATGACCAAAATAAAAAATTTAAGAATTATTTTTCCAAAATGTTGGTCAAAATATATCAAAGTACTAGTTATTGCTCGTGCCGGAAGGCATGAAATAATTTAAAAAATTATCAATCATAAATGTATTTGTATTCACACCCAAAATCAAATCATAAATATAGAGCAGAGAGAAAGGAATTTAAATACCGGTTGTAGTAGGAATGAGCAGTGGTAGTGGTGGTGGAAGACGATGATTGTTGTGGTGGGCAGTGCTGACCATGGTGGTGGTGGCAGTCGTGAGTTGCATGGTTTTTGGGTGACGGTAATAGTGGCAGTCATGGATGACGGTGGTGGTGGTGGGCGGTGACGATGATGATGGTGGTAGTAGGTGTGGTGGTTGTGGGTGACAGTGGGTGGCGATGGTGGTGGTGGTGGGTTGTGATAGTGGGTGGTGTTGGGCAACGATGGTGGCGATGGGTGACAGTGGTGATGAAATGATGGTGGTAACAATAATAAATAAAAAAAATGAGATGATGGTGGTAGGTGGTTTGTGATGGTAGCAATTGGTGATGGGTGACGACAGTGGTGGTTGTTGTGGCAGAGGTTGTGGCGGTGGTAATGGTGATGGTGGTGGGGTGGCGGCGACGACAATGGTGGTGGTGGTGAAGTGTTTTGGAGAAAAATATTGTTAAATAAGTAGAAGTTATTTTTTTTTACTTTTACTTACTTATTTAAGTGGTAAAACTATTTTTGACTTATTTTGAAGTAATTAAAATAAGTTGTTCTAATCATTATTTTTTTTTAAAGTGTTTATTAGAAGTTATAAGTTCTAGATGTACTTTTGAAAAGTTACCCTAAACACACCTTTAGGGGGTTTATTTTTCTTATTAAATTTAAGGAGTTAATATTAGCAGTTGGATTGACTTTAAAGTCAAATTTAAAACAATCTCCATCGCGAAAAGTAAAAGTAATTTTTTATATTGTACTTTATTAAATAGATCTTGAAATATTCTGAAACAATTATGTAAATACATTAAGATATTACAAAACATCTCGAATCATTATGGAATACCTCGAAATATTAGAATTTCAATTCCGGCACTGATTCGTTTCGGTCTCATAAACGGAAATGTTTTAGATGTTTTCACTTGTTTTCGAAATAAAATTTTGATCATTGGGTACAATTTATCTCTAAACTTTCTTATGGCATTATTTTGATCTATTTTCCTCTTATATGTATGTGGGTCCATGTTTATTTTTCCGGAATAGCTTTGATGAGTTAGGCACATTGCTGGGCATTGCTCCTCACAAGGTACATTTCTACATATAAGCCTAAAGTTTTATGCACGTATCTCCCCAACTCGTGCATCATTTTATATATGTATTTTGTCGCCTTCTACCATCTTTTCTAGCATTCTTGTTTGTTAAAGCAACTTTAAACAAACCAATGTACTAACTTCATTACAAGCCTTGGTGTATGTTAGTTATCAAATGGGCTTGTAATGTGCTACTAGATTTATATCCATGAATTTACTGTTGTAGCTCCTCTTTGGGCCCAATGTGCAACCTGCGAGTCTAGTAATTTGCTACTAGAGTTATTTTCATAAATTTACTACTGGAGCTCCGCTATGGGCTGTGTGTAAACCTGCATATGTCTGGCATATAAAACTCTTTCCCCAGTTGACGTTATTCTGGTCGGGCAATGTCTTGGCTGATGCAGCAGTGCATTAGAATTCTGTAATAACCATGTTTTATGTTCTGAGGTATTTTATTAGACTGTGAACTTGAGTTGATAATGCTTGAGACATGCCATTTTTTTCTGTTTCCTCTCCTTCAAATGACTAAGATCTTTCTCAGTTGCAGCACCACTGTAACAGAAAACCTCTTAGTTTCAGTTTTTAATCTAAAAAAAACAGTCACTTTCTGCTAAAATTGGTAATTGTGCAGAACTGATTGCACGAATGTAAGGTTTGGGGTTTATGGTGGGGCTAGAAGGTGCTTTTCACTTTTATCGTTTTTCTTTCCAAATGTAGTTTTTTAGCTCTTGTTCTTAACGACTGCCTCAACTCCTGTTAGCTTTTGTTCTTGTTCCTGTTTTTCCTTCTTGGGTTTGTATGCTGGGTTTATAAATCATAAGTCGAGAAGTATAATTTGAGGCGAAGGAAGAAGACGGAACCATGAAGCTAACCTTTAGTACCATGAATGAAGGCTTGTGGAGATTCAATCCACAACAAATCGAATGAGACCTGGTGAAAAACAAGTCACACATCAAAGGTTTAGGTTTTGTGATGTACCAATATTTTCGTATAATGTATTTTTTGCATTGTAGGAATGACTTGGAAGACTGTTTTCACATTACCCAAGAGAGTATCATAATCAAAGTTGCTTTGGGGGGAAAATAATAAATATGCAGCGTTTTGGTGTAATTTGTGTCAGCAGTGTTTGTGGTTATATCAAACTGCATGTGTGTTTGGTATTTTACATATTGTGGTAAACAAATCGATGATTTTCGAAAACATCACATGTTCCTTGACACCCTTCTGTCGCAACACCCCCCCCCCCCCCCCTTTC